GCAGGCTGCTATCCCTCTGGCTCTTCACACTGTGCTCTCCACCTCCACCATCTTCCCTGTTTTGGCTCCTGCAATTTTAAAGAGAAGTGTGCATTATGTGTTTGTGTGCAGAAATACTTTAAAGTAGCTCATAGCACCCTTCAGTTTCTGTATGTACACAGTTCTGTGACATTAATTACATTCCTCATGTGTTAACATTCTTAACTTTCTCTCCCCATATCATTTCACCATCATCAACTTAGACTCACTGCACCGTAAACTACTCATATCTTAGAGTTAATTATCAATTTGAATTCATATAACTTACTCTTTGAAAAATCTTAAAACAAATACTCGTTATTAATCTAACTTAAATGTTACTTAGTTTCAAGATGACTTCAGCAAATAGTTTTTGTTTGCTATTCCACAATTTTCATACCAGAAGATTGAGGATTCTTCCAGCCACAATGAGTCCTATTAAGTCTGAGTTCTGTGAGAATTTTAAATTCTATGTCATATATTTCCCATGTTTTTGGTTTTGGGGTTTTTTTAAAAAAAATTTTTTATTACTAATTTTAATGAAAATTTACAGAGACTTTGGATTTCCATTCATTCATTGTTGTACTTTTCTCCCTGCTCACCCCTCACCCCCCAGTTCATTCTTCTCTTTGAAAAGTAAAAGAAAACTTCTTTAATTGTTTTACAATCCTTATCCCCAGGTCCACTCCACTATGAGGCCTTCATTCTGCACTCCTGTCATGAAAATAATACCCAAACACATATCCCCTTTAAACAGTTTTCTTGCTCGTCTGTTTCATTGTGGTATACGTTATTTATCCCATCTTTCTCAGTCTCCCCCCAACCCCAATGTCAGTCCCATTTTACAACAGTGGCACTATGCAGTATTTGTCCTTTTGTGACTGAGATATTTCACTCAGCATAATGTCCTCCAGGGTCACCCATTTTGAAAATACTTCATGAGTTCTGTGTTTTTCAATGCAGCATAGTATTCCATTGTGTGAATATACCAGAGCTTCTCTTTTTGTTGATGGGCAGTTAGGTTGTTTCCAACTCTTTGCTATTGTGAACAAAGCCATGATAAACATGGGTGTGCATATATCTGCTTGGGTGGCAGTTCTGGTCTCTTTAGGGTATATATTCCCAATAGTGGAATTGCTGGGTCAAATGGTATTTCTATTTGCAACTTTTTGAGAAAGTGCCACACTGCCCTCCACAGTGGTTCCACCATTTTACACTTCCGACAACAGTGAATAAGCGTTCCAGTTTCTCCACAACCTTGCCAGCATTTGTTGCTTGCTGTCCTGTTAAATTTTGCTATTCTTACTGGGGTGAGATGATATCTCATAGTTGTTTTGATTTGCATCTCTCTTAGAGCTAGGGATCCTGAACATTTCTTCTTGTGTTTGTTGGCCATCTGAATATCTTCTTTGGTGAAGTGTCTTTTTATATGCTGTGCCCATTTTTCAATTGGATTGTTTACCTTTGTCTTGTGTGGTACTCCACTATTTTATAAATTTTAGATATACGTCTCTTATCTGACATGTCATTATTGTTGTTGTTGTTGTTATGTGCCGTCGAGTCGTTTGCGACCTGTCATTATCAAATACTTTTTCCCAGTCTATGGCTTCCCTTTTTTACCCTGTTGGAGAAGTTTTTGGATGTGCATAGGGGTTTGATTCTTAGAAAGTCCCGTTCATCTATTTTATCCTCTCCTGGTTGTAGATTTTTTTTCGGGATGCTTGGAAGACTGCTTATGTTGTGCATAGGGCTTCTAGAATTCTCCCAGGCTTTTCTTTAATGAAGTTTATAGTCCTTGGTTTTAGTCCTAGGTCCATGTTTGGATTAGGTTTCATCTGTTGAATCCTTGCTCAAAGATTCAGTAATGTTGGCCAGGCATGATTCAGTCACTTCTGTTCTCATGGCAAAGAAGACAGTAATTCATAGCAGAAACAGGACCTGGAGTCTTGTTTCTTCACTAATTTGTGATTCTTTCATCCTTGAGCCAACAGAGACCGGTTATTTTATATTGTCTGGCCACTGACAAGGTTTTAAGACCCGGGATAGGCCAATTGATAAAATAACTTTAAAATTAAACTTTTTTAAAAACTTTTTTTCCAACATAAAGAAATGAAAGTGTAATCCAGCAATGATATAATTAAAGCATCTTCTTCTTAAAGAATTGTTACGAATTAAATGATAGAATTTAATTCTTCTGAAGTTCTTAGAACCCTGCTCCATATAAAATAAACTCATTACCACTGAGTCTGAACTCAGCTGATTGTCTGCTAGGTTTTGTAAAGCTTTAAATTTCACAGGAAGAAATTGTTCATCCTTCTCTTGTAGAGCTGCTGGTGGATTCAGACCTTCACAGAGGCATTTCCTTAGGGTTAGTAACACTACTGTCTGTAGACTAGACCACTAGAGCTCCCAATATACAATATTGTTGTTATGTGCCATCACGTTGCTTGCGACTCATAGTGATTCTCTATACAACAGCCCTAAAACCTGCTCTATCCTATGCCAACTTTACTGTGTCTGACACACCTATCTTTATTACCCCAGTTACTCTTATCAATCCATCTCATCGATGGTCTCCCTCTCTTTCTCCATCCCTCCACCCTTCCCAGTATGATGCCCCTCTGCAGGGAATAGTCCCTCCTTGCAGGATGCCCAAAGTATGTCAGATGAAGCCTCAGAATCCTTTGCCTCCAAGGAGAAGACTGGCTTCACCCTCCTTAGGACAAACCTGTTTGTTTTCTTGGCAGTCCATGGTATATCCAACACTCTTCTCCAGCACCACAGCTCAAAGGCATCAGTTATCTTTCTATCATCCCTAGTCAATGTCCAGCTCTCTGACACATAGCAAGCAATTGTGAAGATTATAACCTGGATCAATATACAATAAGACCTCTAAATCTTAACTATAAAAGCGTGATCTGATGACTTTCAGGCCTTCCTCTCTGGAGCCCCTATAATTCAACCCTCAAGTATAGCATGCACAAGTGCTCACATGTGTACACACATGCACACACACCCCCTTATACCTGATACTCTACCTTAACAATGATTCCAGTTTAAGAGCTTTTATTTGCATAGGTGTTGATTACAGCTCCAGAGTCTTTATGTTTCAGATTGCAAAAGTGATTTTTCTTTTTGCCTTCATCTACCTGGAAGAAATTCAAATGCATGAAAGCAAATAAATTACTAGGAATGTTTTTCTAAAACCATTTTTCTTCTTTCTTCTAGGCTAATGGCTACAGTTTTATCAATATTGAACATGGACAAGCAGTGTCCCTGCTGAAAACTTTCCAGAACACAGTAGAACTCTTCATTGTACGAGAGGTTTCCTCATAAGCACTGTGGACAAAAGATTGGGGGGGGGGAGACAGCAAGAATTATTGGAAGACTTGCAGGGGAAATGAATATTTTGATTATTTTTATATATAAAGAACTCAACAAACTATGTTCAAATTTGTACATTAATGGAATAATGGAACTTGTGGTTAGAGGGAAAGAACCACTGTACAGAAAATAGAGGCGGCTGTTTCATTCATACCGTAAAGCTTCTGGTTAGGTTTTTAAACATAGCAATCAAGGCTATAAAAACAAAACCT